GATTGCTCTTCATTACTGTAAGATTACGATAGAAATTACGATAGGGATTTTGAGCCGTTGTAAGTGGTTTTTTGCCGATTTTCGTCTCAGAGGTAACCAAACAAGTGAAAAACTCTTGTACTGGACTAGTCGAAGTCGTGGACTCTGAATACGAAATTTGCACTTAAGGGTAGTGCTTCTTTCATGAGTTATTTCAGAGCTAGAGTAACAACTGTTTTTCCACTTCATCAGAAATGTGAATACGCCATCAAGAAAGCTCGAAAAACTCATAAAAATTCATTTAGTGAAATCAGCACGCTTGAAAACTTTGCCACACAAATTTTCAGGTTTTTTGAAAACTACTTCGTCAAAGAGCCTATTTTACATTGACTTGTATGCTGAAAGTTCATACCGTAATCCTACAGCAATGAAGAGCGATCAGCGATTCGCTCCATACTGTAAGTCTAAGTTGGACCACGCTCTACAGAATGGTACCTCAAGCTTGACAAAAGACATGAAAGAAAGAGAGTTATTAACGATCAAACAGTGTGCACATCTTTTTGGAACACTCTGTACCATCGAGAAGCTGTTCTCATGCTCTTTCTAATGGTGTTTGAAATGGGCTCTCATCCTTATCTCTTATAAAGTTACTGAGCTTCGAATAACCGCATCCAGATTCAGAAATTCATTGCATCCACTTTCTGGCCAGCTTTCAAGCGCATATCAATGGCACTAAGATTTAGCTATTGTATGTAATAGAAATTGTTTACATTATGCATATTTAACTGCATTTTTTGAAGTTATCCAGACTTAGATATTGGCGCCTAAACATGGGTAGCTGTTGTCATTTCATGTCCCATAGTTTCCTTCTGAAGAAGTCAATCGCCGAAGCCTTGCTCAATTTTGTAAGCGTAGGGCTAGGGCATCCTATTAGCAGTTTTTGCAAAAACATCCAGCTGTTCAGTACGTAGAAAATCGGAAAATTTTATATTCGGGACTTTGAGGTACACTGAAAAAATGTTGGTAAAACTGAGAAATTTCGAATTTCGATCTTTTTCTTTCTCGCAAACTTTTTTGTCCAAATTCTTTTTATTGTGTTTTGTCCGATTGGCTTGCGGTTACAAGATAGGCCACTTATCATACTAACAAATTTTGAAGGAAGTTATGAATTGTCAAAACAAGGTTCTAGCAGAAGAACCTTTTGTGTTTTTCAAACCATATTTTACTGCCCGTTCGTGATATGAGTATAATTAAATGTGCGCTGTATTGCAGAAGGCTTGCTGCTACTGATGGTCTGCATTGCATTCAGTGGCCGTATTCATCAACGAACCCAGTGGGTTCCGGAACCCACTGGGTTCGTTGATGAATACGGTCACAGAAATGAGCTTTTCAGAAGTCAAAGTGAGAATTGCAAAACGGCCATCATTTTTGTACCAACTCAGACAATCGCTGGGGGCAGTAGGGCGCGGGAAAATACGCGTTGCTGAAATTTCGCATTCCGCTCGCAATTTCCAGAAGAATGTTTAGCGAGTTTTTGAGATACCGCCTGTTGAATATTTTTTCGCTCTTATCTTTTGCAGATACATTGCTGAATGTCTGAGGAATCGAGAACTCAGCAAGCAGCGTCCCGAAAAGTCCTGATTGGTTTCCGAAAAATCCGCCAGCAGGACGCAAGAAATCAGCCATCTATTATTCCTCTGAGAACCTAATACCTAGTTGTTGCAAAAAAAAACCTCCGTTTCGCAAATTTTTACTTTGGAAAGCTACAACTTTATCTAGTCTTCATGCCAGTATCTTCAGAAACAGTAAACCTTTCTTAAGTCAGCGCGCACCTGCTCATACTGATATCGCAAACAGGAAAAAAACCGTGCTTCGAAAAACTGAAAGTGTTTCTTTTGAAAACCTCGTCTTTAAGAGCTTACATCTCCCTCCAAGTTTTGTTTCTATGGCTGGAAATCAGCTTCTTTTGTAGCCGCTAGTACTATGTGTACAGAAAAGATTCTAACAGAATTCTGCGAAAAGAAAAGACAAAAATTCAAAATCTTTTTTGAGCCTATTTGTTGTAGGCTTGTAAGTGCCAATTTGATTGGAATTCTTCGCTTACTGAATAGCTAATTTTCTCTTCAAATATTGTAATTAAGGTGTATCAGTGCTAATCTCAAGCTTATAAAAATGGACGAAACTTTGGAGATTGCCTTAATTGAAAAATTTCGACCCATAGAATGCCAGCAGCACCTATTATGAGGCGTCATTTTCTCAGTCCAGATATCTCCAGAAACTAAGTAAATACGCACCAGGTAAACAATCTTCATTCAATACAACTGCTATGTTTTCAAAAGAATTCGTTCATTTGCTCCTGAATTGTGGTCAAGCAAGTAAAGCTATGAAATTTCGATTTTGACTGCGGATGTGCAAAAGCTGGTGAAATTCTCACAAATGAGAAAAGAAGCTTGATTCCACCACCATTAAAAAGCACATGAAGAAAACTTTCCAATGAGTTGCAGAATCTGTATCGGAAAAGAAAGTTCGATGGAATAAAGTTGCTTGAAATATTAGGTTGCTGCATAAGTTCTGTCCGATTTGAATTTTTTGAGTTCAAAATGTCATAACTCTCTTCAAAGTCAACATTTTTCCAAGATTTTAGTTACTATGTGTTGAGTAATTCCTTGGCTATCAGACACATATTAAAATCTGCGAAAATCCTTGTAAAAAAAGGAGCAAGAACTCAAAAACCTCACAGCGTTTTTCTTCAAACCTGTCTTTTTTGACATGGCAGTGCTCCCTTACGAGAATTGATAGGCATTTTGTCCAACAATGAATAGATAGAGAATTTTTCGCAGATTATTTCGGGACATAAAAGAGCCCATAGGGTCTGCGTTGCCGAGAGATTTTTTTGACCGAGCAAAAAAGAAGCCACTTTTTGACCTCGCCTCAGTGCATGTGTGCATGCCTATTTACGAGTTATGAAAATTTTACAATTAACGTGAGCGCCGAAAAGAAATTGGTGTATGGTTTCTGCTAGCCCTTGCTTTACCCTAGCACCTCCAACTTTGAAGTCGTCGATTACTTCTACTGACAGAAAGTTATTCCTTGTAACACATCTAGACAGAAAGTAAATGTTTGACAATAAATTATACTAGCAAGACGTTTTCTTCATGAAACTGAACTTATGCGTATGCTAGCCTGTTACACCCTTATTCTGGAACCAATTAAAGAACTTGACCTATAGGGCGCATTATGGAGATTTCCTCGCAAGAACATATTTCTAGGGTGAGAACGTACCTCGACCACTTGGAAATTTTAGGCCTGAATTCTCCTTACACTAAGAAATTTATTGAAATTTGATATGCTTTAAAATGCGCAAGAAAAGCACTTTTTAATGATACTAACAATATCGCATCAGAGATGAAATCCTCTTAGAGCAGCTGCTTCAAACATAAGGCAAAAAATTTCGGACAGAACTTATGCACCAACCTAATATAGGTCTAGAGAAGCGGACATTAAAACAGTCATTCCACAATTATAACACCTTTCGTTTGCTTTTTCTAGGTTGTACATGTTGCCTGTTGCCCTACCTCTGCTACTCTTCGACACTTACGCTTTCTTGAGAATAGTTCTGGTACTTTCTTTACCTCTCCATTCAATTTCGTCGTGATTGTCTGCATTCTTCCTCGCGGCGTCTTGGCATTTTTCTCCTTACTCCCTAGGACGCTTTTTTTGCATAACAGTGGTGTCAGGCTTTGGTATCATTTTATCCTTCTCTAGTCGCAGGCTCTATCCTTCACCCCGTCCCTCTTAAGCCTTACTTACTTAAAGGGCTTTTGAAAAAGTGTGACGATGGCGCGACCACACGTTCACGCACATCCACTTCCGGAAACCGCATTTTCTTGGTTTTCATCTTTAATCTGATGGTTTTTTGCTTACGTATGATAGTATCTAGACACTGGAAGCGACTGAGCTGAGCATTGAGGCTATGCCTTCTTGTAAAGCGTTTTATGCTTCTGTGGGCGCAAAGCCCGCACTCAAATCCGTCGTCAAGAGTTTATAAATGATATACTTATTGTTAGATACTTGGATGCCGTGCGGACACCAGATCATGCAAATTGAGAAGATGAACGATAGATAGGTGGACGACAAAGCCAACGCCTCCCACGTTTCCTGATGGAATCTTTTAGCCACGAACGATGAATGTCCGATTAATCATCTTTGCACGTCCTTATTCCTGGTCTCGGTTTCCTGCAGAGCGATGAGTGGTACCCGACATGCTCTGCGGCGTCGAGAAGAGCGTGGAGGTCGGCGTTGTAACTGTTTGGATTTATGTGCGTCAATTTTTTATTTCTATTTCTTCCTTTCTGATTTTATCGGAAAAATAAGGCTTCTAGATCTGACGCACCCTGTACATTACAATAAGAACGAAATGTTACGAGAATGATGCGTACAGCGTAGCGGGTCTTTCTACGGCATTCTCGTTAGGCATCGGAAGCGCTGTAATTGGATTCAAATTGAAAGTTCCCGACTGAACTATCAAGTCGGTAAATCTGACGCGTTTCCAAGAATATATGAAATATTAAGTTGTAATAATGTCCGGATACTTTCGCATAACTTACGTTGCTTTCTCCTTACTCGAAACAAATTTCATGAGTCTGCAGACGTACTGTCGAGTAGAATTTCCGCTCAATATAGTGTGCTTGCACTGCGGTTAAATTGTGGTAAAGTTAACGCGTGAACAAAAAGCTACGCCTGTGACGCGCGCAGAATGCCGGCATCATTGGCGTACCTTTTTCACGCGCAAGTCTTAGCGAATTTTACCTGCAGTGCAAGCACACTAAATTTAGCAGAAAATCTACTCGACTGTAGATAACACATTGAGTAACCTCTTACTTTACATTCTATTTTATGCTGCAGTTTGCTTGTTTGAAGGTCATTTTTCACGATCTGGTTACCAGAGATGACGGCGATAAATGTGTGCATTTTGTGTGGTGTCGATTGGCAACGTTGCGAATTTCTTTAAATTATTCATAGAATCTTTATGACTTTAATATATGAGAAAGCTCAGAATAACAATAGAATAAAATTGAGATTCGGAAGAAAGTACAAGTGATTTAGACCCGCACGGAGTGGTTCGGCTCCAGTTGAAGTTTATATGCGCTAAGGTAGACATTATGAGGAGCGGATTCGACTGTGAGGTCGCTTTTCTCGTCCTCCTCAATCCGAGGCTTCGTACCTTGCGGAGAGCTTCCTGGCATGGATATTCTACGCGTCTGTAATGGAAAAAGCTGGACATCAGCAAGAAGATGTTACTACACTTTAATAAATACTCACTATTATAAATAAAAAATAAATACTTTAATAATACTCACTTTCCCCGTTTTGTCACTCCACTTTTTCCCGCCACGTTTTTTCGAAATGTGTGGGTTGTCCTGGTACAAGTTCTTGAGTTTGTACATCCGCAGTTGGGTATACACGCGCTTGAGTTCAGCCTACAAAGATAGATGGTCCCGACTTGCTCCAGCTTGGACTTATGGAAAATTCGGAAGGGTGACTCACTCGTATGTCTTCTGGATTCATATCAGCTATGGGAACTTCAGCAAAGTCGATTGTCCCATTTAGAATGTTGTCTCTCAACTTCGCTAATGAAGGATGTGCTCTGCCTGAGTGTCCGCCTAGCGTCATCGCTCTTCGGGTGGACTCCCCAGATACCTACAGTTCTTGAGCTCAGTCGAAGAAATTCAGTCATATTTGTGACAAAAGAATTTTAGTAGAATGTCATACCAAGTAGAACTTGGGAGCGATGATGATGACAATATTTACAGACACAGTCAGTTGTAACTGCACGAATGATATTGTAAAGAGAGTGTCGCTGTGCCCGGAATTACGAATGGAGTACCTGAATATGACTCAGGTGAAACACAGTTTGTATAGTTACTGAACAGCGCCGGTCCGAGAAATCTTGAATGGCTTTCCGTATGCTTTTCAACCGTGTAGTGAACCTAAACTCCCTGCCTACGAAAAGAATTTTTTGCAAGACCAATTTGAACTTTAAAAAATTCTCAAAAATTATTTCAGTGATTCATAATCAGAAACAAGGACACTGGTACAATGTCATAACTCATGCGGTGTTCGAAAAAAATCAGACTGCAGTATTGTAGTTACAAATTATCACGCCTCCCATTTCATTCTGTCTCTTATGATTCAAAAAAAGAAGGTGGTGATATTTTAGTTGATCTAAATGCTTGACAAGCAAATTTCATTGAGCAGTGAATTGTAGTCGCAATCTCTAAGCCCTCAGCAGATTAACGGTAAAAATAGATACCACCTAGATACGAAAACATGAACTAGTCACCATTGTATATACTGAGAGCGATTAACAAACTCTGAAAAAAGATGCGAGTGAATATTATTTTTGAGCAGAATCAGGTAAAAACGAGGGACGGCGTGAAAAACATCATTACTTTGCGAGCTCAGGACCGCATACTGTCAATTAAGTGATTAACAACTCATCAAAAATGATAAGCAAGTTTTTTTAGAGATAGCTGCACTAAACATTCATCCACAGATTCAGTTTCATAAAAAAGAAGAAAAGTTGACAAGTATTTTTGAATTTTCCGAAATTCGTACTCTTATCAAAGAATTTGAATATGCCATAGAGTCTATAGAAGCCCCTAAACGAACTCGTTAGTAAAACTATAAAAGTTTACCTAATAAGATTTGCCATTAGTGTGATCACAGCTTCCAAACAAACAGCGACGGTAAACTGCCATCGCTCCAACCAGTCACTGTTTCGCGCCTAGAGGTAGCGATATCGAATTGGGTAACAGAACATTAAATCATGCACAGACTTTGTAGCAAAGCCTCATTCCATAGAGCAGAAACAGTAGTTCGTAACAATGCCAAATCACATGCCAACCCTGCATTCTGCACTGTGGCCAGGCTGTTTTCCACAAAGCTTGGTCACCCCAAGAGCCGACAGTCCAAGCCATCAAACCTGCAACAAGAAACCTGATTTAGTCTGCCCTCAAATTTTTTCGCTTATTGTCCTTTTTCAACTACCAAGCAAAAGTACTTCAGCTTTGAAGGCGGAAGTAACATTTTCGCTTTCCTTTCTAAAAGGAGTAAGTCAGTACACATAAAAGTTGAGAAATTGCTTGTTCTTCTTGCTTGTACTTCTGCCCAGCTTGCCCTCCATTACATTGAAATTTCCCATACGACATACCCGTTATCGTGAGAGCAAGCATTCCGATGAGGTACTTCACCATATCCTTTTCCCTCACAGAGACGTGTTGAGCTTTTCGTACTCGATACTCTTGTAAATTTCTAAACTCACAAATGGAATATCTGCTGATGCCTCCTTCCAACCAACAAAGCGATTACCTGTATATTTTGAGCACAATAGATCCGTAAAAGGTACTGAACCCGATCTGACGTAGCCATACCGCTACACAGCAACCGGCCTCTGGTGGAGCGAACCAGTCTATCAATAACTGAAAGAGAATTTTGTTGAACGTGATTCGGAGAATTGCTAGCAAAATTATTATGGCTCGCAAGTGTGTGCCACAACTCAAAGTGATGGTAGTGATGACTGATGACAGGTGATAGAATTGACCTATCCTGATATTCACTTTGTCTGAGTTTACTTAGACATAGAGATTGCCTTAATAAATGCGGTAATGTCAGAAATTTCTCACAAATATTTCTCTGCACAAGAAACATTCATTTTTTACTTTTCTTTGTGACTACGAGGAAGACGCAGTAGCGGAAGCGGAAGGGGGAGAAAGCGGAACGATTTTTGCACATCTTGTGATACTGCAATGTTTGTGTAAAAAAACTTTCTTGCATGTGAATAACTATAATAATCTACACATGAAATATCTTGAGAACTTTCAAGAAGTAGCTTCTGTCAAACTCATTTGGTAGACTTAAGATTTGTAATTTTTTGATATATTTGGGGAGATTTCAAAGAATTCATTAGCTTTCATTCTTCTACCCCCACGAAGATTTGTTAATGACTGCCTAAATGCAAAATATATGAAAAGATATTCCATTCACCAATATGCCCATTCGCTTATTTCAGACAAGGTGTGGGCAGGGGTCGCTGCAGGAACTTCACTCAGGAAAAACACCAAAAAGCTTTTCAGAGATTGTGCACATGAAATTTAAAACGTTCAGAAAGTTTGGGAAGCTCCGCGTAAATTCATGATATTTTTTGCACCCATTAGCTGGATCACATTCCTATGAAATAAACTAAATATCCAAGTTTGCAAACGCGTACCATATGCTTACACTAACCAAAAAACAGAAGAATTTTCTAAATGCTAATGGGTATGAATTTCCGAAACGTTAATGGGTACTGTTGCAACTAACTACTATCTTTTTGAAAAATCGTAATGCGAATTTGCAGGAAAGGCGAAAAAATGGAACAATCAACGTTCAAAGCGACATTAGATAATGAAATGTAGCAATTTGCGTCAGAAAGGGGACACTCGCCGAGAGTGAGTAGCTGCAGGGTGCTCACATAAGCACTAGAGTGGCTTTCTTATGCGAGAAAGAAGAGGAAGTAAGTTGGGATGCTGGAATAAAAGAAATGACCGAATTATATGGCGTCTCGGACCGGAACAAATTGCTAATATCTGATTGTGAGTGCATCAAAAATCATTTTCCAGAGCCTAAGCATGTGTAACCCTACCTATTATTTTCATTACTGAAACCTCTCTTTGTTTGCTCGCTGTCATAGAAACATTAGAGAAATCAGTCAAATTTGTTTGCTAAACTGCGTTTACTACTGTTGGATTTACAAGGTCCATTTACAGCGTGTTCAAAAACTTCGTCCGAGAAGCAAAGTGTTTTTTGAGAGAAGGTAGATTTTGGGCCCATTTTATAATATTGCTACCTCGACATGCTTGTTTTGAGTGAGAATATTTCTGCAAAGCTCGCTGCCCAAAATTTGAGGTGAAAGTATTCTAGGACTAATATTTTTGAGACCCTTTTTGATATGAATTCTACGACCTTTGCATGCGAGTATATCAAATATTGATAAAGTCAAGAAAAACTCGAGCTTGTACTCAAATTCTTCTCGATAGAGTGCCAGAACTTCCTACTCTCACGGTAAAGATGAGCCTCCTGCACAAACTACTTCCTTAAATGTCCAGGAATAGGGAAGCGCTAAAATAGCTGCAAAGGGGATTTTTTTCGTAAATTAAGTGCTGTCATTTATATGTAGAGATACTCTAATGATGTGCTGCTGTATCGCAGTCAACTAAGAAAATACTGAAAGTGTTCCGGCTTGCTGTCAAAAACAGCACGATCTTCTAGCAACTACATGCTTGCACTCCTGAGAGATTTTGCCAAGATCAATTGGTAAATCTTCCCGAGTGCAAAGATCACGGTTTTGAGGAAGTTTGAAGGGCTGTGCGCGCTTCAGAAGATTACTTGGGAAGTGATTATAGACGGCAGGAAGGACGAGCTGCGGCGGTTCGAGAAGAGGAAATTGAGGCATTAAAGGTTTTTAGTCTTTGACATTCAAATAGCGCATTTTTTGTGTTTCTTCATAAACGACGACCACCTCTGTTGTAAGCCAATAAATGCATAATATTGTTGCAGTCAAATAACTTTAAATATAAGAAAAAAGATGTGAACTTCGCTTAGACTCGTACTGAATGATAATTTTTATCCAAACTTCGAGATCTCTTACATTCTCTATCACTTGCTTGCTTTGGAATAACAATTTAGAAATTGGCAATGTAGACAGCCCGTCATTTTTCAGAATGACTGAGGTCAGGCCCGCGATCGCTTCACTGGATTATAAAAATCTGTCAGCAAAGATAGACAAGAATTTGCGGCTCGTATGCACGTACATCCCCGCTGAGGAGGAGAAGGTCTTGAGAGGGGACGCGTCATATTTCGCTACTCTAGATATGTTTTGAAGGTTTTTATATACTGATATTTGAGTGTAATGGATGGTAGAAGAACACTGCCATGTAAGCTGAGAAGTCTACTGCTTGGGCATATCCAAGGGATCACCCTCTGTTTTCAAAGTTCTAACCTTCCATAAAAAGCATCGAAACGCCTTAGTTTCTATTTGGACTGCTGGGGATGTTTTCGGCAAAACAGTTAACCTTCGTAGATCAGGTAGCTAAATTAGCGAAATATGACGCATCCCCTCTCAGATCCTCTCCCCTCCCCCGCGGGGATCTAAAGCAAAAATACTGATCGTGGTCAAAATTAGCAAGTGGCGCTTTTTATGAGACCAAGTAGAAGTGAAAAGTTGAAGATTTAGTATTTCCTCATAACAACAAGATGTGGTTTATAAGTATTCACAATTCGATGACGAAGAAAAGTTTCGGATAATTCCATGTGAACATCTTTTATGTGTTTTAGGTTTCTTCCTGACTTGCATCGAAATTTAATTTCTTCCCACGCATATTTCGAATGAATTAACAACTTTCAAATTTTATGCGCATTCAAAAAATTGCGTAGGTCAATTACCCGCTCTTAGTAGAATTTTGTACTAGGTTTTGAAAGAGTCATTACACCATAGAACAAAGGTTATAAACTACTATTATGTTACAATGCATCTTCACACATTTCTTGGATGATTGATCCAATTATAAACATCTCTTTGGCAATACTTTGCTAGAGGAGGAATGAAATTTATATCGGAGCGGGATGCATAGGCTTTTGAGGATGCGGGTATCACATCTTCTAAGATCCGAAAGCGATAAAAAGCGAAAATTTTTTGTAAAATGCTATCAAACAGTAGTACTGCTCGCACAACTTTCTTCAAGGGGGGGGGAGGACAGAGAGCAGGTCTAGTCTAGTCCATGATCTACAAATTCCAGTAGAGTGCTGGTAGTCATGCCTCGATAATTTTTTTACAAAATCAACTTGTATTTGAAAGTCTTCGAAAAATATATAAATCATTTACAAGTCAGTAAAAAAATTTTTTCGGGGCGTGGCTGACGCCACGCCCCCTTTTTCCGGATTTTCGGGGTTAGGGACCCGCAAAAATTTTGAGAAGCACCCCTAAAATTTTTTCGGAGTGCGTGGCTAACGCCACGCACCTTCATTCGAAAAAGATTTTTGTCGCGCCCCCCCCCCCCTCCCCTCCCTGAGCGGAAATCCTGGGTACGCCACTGGCGCTTAGTAATTCTTCCTTATTGTCAGTTTTAATGGCAGTTAGGATGCAGATTTGTCGGCTGAAGGAGAAAAGCAGAAAATAGCCAAAACCTGAAAAATTCTATCTGTCTGGAGATAGCCAGCAACCCTTTATGACTTGCTGCAAAAGTTTCATTTCACACTTAGTCATTGCTTAGACGACTAAGAAAGTATTCTGAGTGACAATTAAAAACAAGAAATTATGTATGCGCCTTAAAAAATGTATGAATACAATGTTTTTTCGCGGTCTTCGCTATTTGGAATGCATGGCAGAGCGTAACATACTATACTCAATTGTGTAAGGTATCTGGCCATACAAAAAAGAAACAGAACCCACAAGACAGTATTTTAGAAAATAGCAGGCGTAACTGTACGATCTGTACCCTTTAGATACTCAAACTTTCGCAAAATTCCACTTGTAAGCACAAATTTGCCAAGTATAATCTCAATATATTTCCTGGAGATTTGCTACCAGGCCTAGCGCCATGACAGGTTCGTTGTCGACTTTTTGACTACCTGTACATTTATATAATACTACGAAAGTGAACGGTTGATGATTTCAGCATTGAAATCATAAAAACGAATGAATCAAGCCCAAACATCCAATACGACTTATTAGAACTTCTTTTTCACACAAGGCTCTGAGCATTGAGATTGAGCAACTCTTCATTAACTCAAATGTCGCTTCTTGATGAAACAAGCTTGAATCCTTCCGCCTCCCCTCCCCTATCCCAGTGCTGAAGGTTCTAGATTTCTATCCATAAGTGTTCCATATCCTTTTTTATCTTACCCTTATCTTTTTGTATCGGATTTTGTATTTCTTTGGTAAAGCGAGAATGTTCCTGTGAATGTGTTTTTTACGACGACCGTGATATTCACGTGAATATGCGAGCGGGTCTTTATGTTGCTTTGGTGATGTGCATTTTACATTTTTCTCTCCTTTCAATTCAAAAATCGATGAAAAAAAGGGTGATGGTGTAGAATTGAAGACTCATAGATTTGAGAAAGCAAGTTCATTTCAGCACGATAAATAATAGTTGGAATCATGCGAGCACATATGATAGGAGTTTGAGCTACGATGCAGATTATAAACCATCTTTCCTCGAGTTTCTATGAATCATGCAAGCCCCTGAATCGAGTGAAAAAAACGGGCTACTTCGCATTCCTCGACGGAGATGTCAGATTATATAACTTGGCTTCAAAATGTTTCTTATGAGATCGAGTGTTCATAAGAGAAGTCATTAATGTAAAAATTCGTAAAACCAAGAAATGTGTAAAGCTTACTCAACTTGAGGAAATTTGCAATTGCTGCGACGGAAAGGACTATGACGAAAAAGTTGAATGTTTATAAGTCAAGAAAATTGGTTTTTCACATATTTAGTTGTATTTTCGAAACGAAAACAGGATTAGTGAAACAACAAATATTACGGGCTAACTCAAAAATCTTCTATGAAAAGCTTATGGAGGTGCTACAATTTTATCGCGGTCCTTTGTCGCTTTGATTCAAATAAAACTACTGTAAAAAGTAGCAAAAAAATTTTGGTTTTCCGAATCCTTGCATGGCATTCTTCGAAAAGTTATGCACCGGATCAAGCAAACTGTTTTCTGAAGCAAGTTATATAGCAAGAACGTTCCATCGGGGTGTAAAGACCATGACACACATTATTCGTCCGACTTACGGGGTATTGTCAACTTAATCCAAGGCTGAACCATTCCAAATAGCCTTCATGTTCTGAGCCAAAATTTTTTTCATCTGACTTCGAAAACTGAGTTGAAATTTGAAGTAAACTTGCTTATTCAAAACCGTATAAAATAGTGAGAACAATACAAAACTAAGGCAGGAAGTGGAGAGCTTTTCATGGAATTCTTAGTAAAGAGTACCTAAAAATAATAGCCACATTCTCGCACTACTACCTAACGCTATTTGACTTTCAACTCGAACAGAACTGACTCATCAATTCAGTAGGCATTCCACTGCTTTCGATTATGAACAACATTGGCGAGCTGCGAGATGCCCCATTCCAAAATAATCTTCTGTCTACTTATGGGGATTCTGTGGCGATTGGGAATGTAATGCTTGGAGATTTGTTTGCTGCACAGCAAAAACAAAGAGACGTGAAGCAGAGGCTTCCGCTTGGGGAGAACAAAACAACATACGGCAAAATACAAGGGCATTCGGAATCTCTGGCCATGCAGAAAACGCAGTGCTGTGCCAGAAAATAGTCGAGAATAGCAGATCTATGAATAGTAGGATTGGCAATGTGAGAATGAGAGAATATTAGGAGATTTTGAATGGGTTTGCTGTTAATTCTTGGTACTTGACAAAATACATTGAATTCTTGCTATCGGATTATTGCTGGTGTAGTTTTCGATGGACAATTCGCCATTCCAAAATTAACTTCAATATCAGGTCATTCAAAAGACGAAATATAATAGTATTAAGTCAACAAATCACTTGTATGTGCACTCACTGACTTGTGAAACTTAAAAGTCAAAAAATCGATTTGTTAGCCTCATAAGAACGTGAATGCTTTTATTACTGATAGAACATTTCAATATGTTGGTAGTGCCCATCAACTACCTGCTCAACAAGAACCTTGAATAATTAGCTATTTGATTACAGCTGCATGTCAGAAGGATATTATTTCTTAGCCAACCAACTGCACCAAAATGGCTCAAATATTGATTTCAAACTTCAATATCTCCTTTGATTAGACAACTATGAAAAAAGAAAACCATTAGTAGCTTAATGGTAAACAAAGGTTGATGTTAACATGTTGCAGTGACACCTGATAAGGAAGATAAATCGTGAAACGTTGGAAGTGGGTTGTAAGCTTAAAAGCTCCATAAAATTTGGTATCGTTAGCAGTATAGGTTTTATAGCCTACCCTTTCAAATGAGATAAGTGATAGACAATTTTCTTTACAAAATCTTTGGTCGCACTTTCCTTTAGAAGTTTTGGAAAAATGTCCAAAGCGGATCTCTCAAAACTTGGTGCATGTGTGTCGAGTTCATCTGATAATTATCCCTTATCTGCATAATTCTTGATAACATCACTAGGGCGACTCATTCTGTTTCCAGTGCATAGTACTATTGAAAAAAGATATTTGAGGAATAAAACTCGTGTTTCCTTCACAAAGAACCAAAAAGAGGATTCGTGAGTAGTAGTACTATTTTGCAGAGCTTTTGCTGGGAAAGCTGCTGCTTTGCGGAAATTTGCATGAAACCTCCCTTATCGCTATGCACACATTACCATCAAAAAAGGGCTCATTTTACTTCCCCTCCTCCCTACTTCCGCTTCCCGAGAATCTTATTGTAAGGCTGGCTAAGGGAAAGAATCCATAGCTTTCTAAAGTTATCCAGAACAGATTCACGAGATGTTAGCAAGAATTTGAGGGGCTTAAGCACGAAACACTTGAGTAGTACTTACAATCATGTAAAGTATGCTGGCTCCTATGAGAAAGAGTTCCATAAGTGCCCATCCACGAGCCTCTTGTCCTCGTCGACGAGCTCGGCAAACGACTGGAATCAGCGCCAAGCAAGCGGCTGCACACGCCGCATTAGCCAGCAAAAGCATGTTACGATCTGAAACAAATAATTCATTCACAAAAAAAATCAACAATTGGTTTTTAAGGGAATTTCTGCGTCTTGCGTATAACTTATCGCCGAATCATTGGCAACTTATGCGTATTGCACACTATGCGCGCTACTTGACGACTTGTATGATTAGAAACTGCGCATTTTACTGGTTTCTCCTGCCTTCTTGCCTCTTTTGATTTGACTGGATATGCATTACATAGTTGTACACAATTCTGCAGTTTGTTGCGTTAGAAAAGGTTTTAATGAGGAGTTACTGGTAAGGAAGTCGTCGGTTGCGGCGCATAGTATGCAGATTCACATGCTATGTCACAAGTGAGAAGGTATGCATAGTTTTTGATGTACAAATCAATGAATGAAGCAAGCTTACAAGATGATCAAATCATACACACAATTTACGAGTCACAAACTGAATACAAGAAAAATATCGATTTTTCTCAACCCATAACAACATTTCGCAGTTTTTATAATTATTAGCGTCTCTTATGTTTCAAAATGCTTAGTAAATACAAATATATTGATATATGGACATTGTGTTGATTATGCAATATAAAAAACAAGAAAGAAAAAGTTGATATGCTACACTCCGTTCCTATTTACTATTAGGTGACGAATATGCGAATAATCTATTCAACTGGAACTGATCGAAAGACTTTTGAAGTTCTATAAATACCCAAATCAGACTTGTTGAATCACGCTCCCATCATTTACAATTTTAGTGTTTGAGGATGGATTGGACTAAGAAAAAAGTGAGGAATCTTTCAAAAAAAATCTTGAATAGTATGGAAAACCAACAAAAAGTTCGCGCTTTCTAAAAAAATTTTTTTGACCACATCTGATACATGGTCTTCCGAAAAATATGAAAATCAGAAGATTTGTTTTACCTTTGTGATTATGTGCACTAATTTGCAGAGCATCATTTTTAGCGAGAAATCTAATGGTAGACTTCCTTTCTAACCAAAACTATGTGCTCAGATAATAAGCTTGATTTCTCCTTCCTCTGTTATAAGTGAACAAAACTATCTACTTCCTTTTCAGTGGATAATGGCCAGAGAAGGAAAAAAGTGTTGACATTGCATGCATAGAAGGAAAAAGAAAAGAAAAAACTACGAAAAAGAGGTCTTACTTCTATCTGATACAGTCCTGCAAAGAGCCGTGTCTTCTCCTTTGCCACAGCATGTCTTCGCCAGCACTCGCAAGCCGCCATGTACTGTCCATGTGCACTGTAAAAATTTGATTTTGTCCTTGTTTACTTTCAATTACAAATTGGGTATTCCGCAGAGGTTCGCGTATCCCCTAACGGGCGCAAAAAGTTTGCATTCGCTTGTTAAAGTTGTAATCTGAGAATAATGAAGAACGCGGATAACAAAGGCGAGGATCACATGTCATATTGTCGCCGCGATTGAGCGTCATCGCCCCACGCAGCGATTAGGAAAAACCGCGATTTTACACGTGCTCGTCTATACACCTTGGCACTTGACGAATTATTTATTTATAATTATAAAGTCATTAGTGTTGCTCAAGTGCAAACTTTTTCTACACACCACTAATTTGACATTTTGCCGTCATATGCCAATTTCAAAAAGTGCTCTTTCGCGGCTGTCAAGATGCTTAGAAAAGCAGACACTCACGCTGAGCACATCGTTACAGATAGGTGGCAGTGTGTCGCAAGGGTTTCGAAAAGCAAAGAAAGAATTTTTTTTAGGTGGCGTGGGTGTCCAAGTTAATTTTATAACAAGAAAGGATCATTATGTTACAGTCGAATAGCTTGAATTCACACAAGGCTAGAGACCCATCTTCCTCTCCCCTCCCCCCCCCTCTCTCTTCCCGCTCGATCAGGAGTTTTTAGAGGATTTGTGCGCCTAGGAAGTTAGTCACACAAGCCCTCGGAAGTAAATTATTCCTACCTATATCTCGTTTGGAAAGGAAAAGGGAATTTAGTAGGTATCTACACAATCTAGAAGAAGTAGAGAACGTGAGCCATCTACCAAGAAATTTTGTGATAAATCCTCACTTCCTGTGCTTTTTTTCCATCCTTTTTTTTGGTAGACCTTTGTTGTATAAATATAGATAATTTTTGTTAATTTTTTTTGCAGTACAGCAATAAAATTTGACTTTTATTTGTAGGTATTGAATATCGTTCAAACAAAATTTCATTTCTGGTAAAAAAAACAATTGAAAAGGTAAAAATTCTATTTTTTTATTGTGAAAGTGTTATTAGTATTTGGTGTATAATAACATGTAGTCTCAATGACTTTCAGAAGGTTTCATACCTTTTTACTCTGCATTTTGATCTTTTTATAAGCGATAAGGAATTTGACTCAAAATCTTATATTCCAAAAATTTATTCACCATCCTCTTGTTCTAAATTTATAAATATTACCCCCCCCCCTCCTGCTTTTTCAAGTGGACAGTGTTAAGAACAACTGACGATACGGGAATACGATGCTTGTGCGCTCGCTCGCACGTTCTCTCTCGGCAAAAGTAACTCAATAAAGTGGAAAAAGACAACAACCAACTTCAAGTGACGAAATCTACATAAATTTATGGCGCCGCGAACGCTGCGATTTGTGCTTTCAAAAGGAGAAAAGGGGGAAAAGAACGGAGTAATTGCTGTGTAGCTTGTTCACTTGCTGACTGATTGTATTAGAATGGTGACCAAGATGAGCATACTAAAGAAAAAAGGCTTAGTAAACAAATTACGATGTATGCGAGATGCAGCGAGTTTTAAGAAATACTACAATATATTTATGAATATCAATGAATTTATATGTCATTTGCGCAATAAATATAAACTTGAGTAAAATATAAATATTCTTCGCTCAACTACAACTTCACTCCTATTAAAAGTAACTGTTTGCATATTTTATGACATTGATAAGTCTGGCGCCGAAATGGAAAATTCGTAGACAAGGCTCGGCACGAGACAGCTTTCCGAAAATGCAAAAAACGAAGTCCCCCATGACCCTACACCACAGCCGTAAAAAACCCTCTAAGTACGAAACGCCGACAAAAAACTTCGTATTTTTCGGCCACAGAAACGGTATCCCCTTTGCTTTTTGTCCCAAAAACGATATCCAGCTTTTTTATAAGCTATCTGTGCCGAGCCCTGTTCATAGACTTTCCAAATTTCGATGAAATCTTTTATTTTGGTGTAGACAAAAATACTTGAGATAAAATATATTATTGCCATACTACGATGGTACAAGTTGACAAAGAAAATCACTCAGAAAGTGGTTTTTGTTGCGTTTCCTAGAATCAATGAAACTTCTGTTAAATTCTAATTAATTTCATTTGTAGTTTCATGACATGTTTTTATGTGAGAAAAATTCGTGCCGATCGGACATTTTTACGGAACTAATTGCTTTGAAGTCGAAAAATCTCCAATATCAATGATAAGATTGAACATCTGTTATACGTTCAAAAAATAAGTTATGTGCTTTGAAAAATTTATTTGAACATTTCTAAACTGATTTTTTCAAGTTTTTGGTGTAAGACTTATGTATCAACGCAATGCACTTCCTCGGAGCTGATTTTCCCCGCTCTCTTGGAATGTATATTTGAAATAAAATCAGAACGAGAGGAGGCGTGAAATGAATAGCTTAGACCCTTTTTGTTGCTGTTTTTTTGCAGGTGCTCTAACGACAATTTCCTCTTGTCACATGAGAAGAATCGAGAAACGAAAAAACTGTTATGTGCAGCAGTAAGAGATATAAGGCAAACTTTTATGCGCTTGAGGGGAGGGGAAAGAGCTGCATATGAGAGAGAGATAAAATATAAAAGCAAGAAGAGAATTTTGAGCAAAAACAATATTGTTCTTTGGCAACATAGGAAAAGAGTATAAGGTAGATATAAATATAATTTTGGTGTTTTTGACGCTCTTTGAAAATGATACAAACACATTGTTGTATAAACATACTATATTTTTAGAAAGACCAATTCAAGGAGAAAAAAGATGGTCAACCCTGTTCTGCCCTAATTTTTCGTTTTTGAGGGCGAAATAGTGCAATGGAAGCGGTGTAACCAGATATCTTCACCACGCTTTTGAGTTGCAAGCTTCAAAAAGCGATTCAAATAGTAATCCTAGGTGAAAAGGTTAATTTTTCAATCATTGACAGCGAATTGGTGCGCCAAAGCGGGATAAGGTTTCCTCTTCGAATTTTCGAAACGTGCTTTGAAAAGCGAAGTAAATATCAATGTTGAGTTACCTAAGAGATTTGCAAAAACAAGGAGCTAATGAAGAAATTTGACTTACGAAGGATTACTGGCGTGAGCTGATGTTTGATGCGAATACATCTAACACGGTTATAAGACAATTTTAAGTACATTAACAGGAGGAGTTATCGCTAATAGTTCTTTTCGTTGTAAACAAATTAATAAGTAATAATTAAATCTGACCTTCAAACAAGTGCAAAGAAGCCCCACTTATGTCTGAAAATGCTAAGGGTCCATAGTGTGGATTAATTGGTATCTTTGCAGAAGTAATGCGCTTCATCCACGCATTTTGCCTCGCTCTGTCACTTTTTGACGACTCCGAGTCGAGAACTCGAGATAGATGCGAGGCCAGAACAGGCCAGAACATTCGTTAGGGCATCGTCACTGTGGGGCTCACTTTATGATGCTTCCGCTTGGGGCTGAGACACATTCAGCCTCTAATGGAGAGTTTTTGAATCGTCTCGCAGAGTCTCTTGCATTCGGCACGATTTTGACTACAGGGACTGTGGAATAAGGGGTTTTGCCTACTTGCACAAATTCGAACATAGATCCGACGGAGGGGGGGGGGGGGGGGAGGGGGAAGTGTTCCAACAAAGCAGCGTAGTCTATGTAAGTTTAAGCGTGGTCTTGTTAGCATAGTAAATGCGCTTATAGCTTCTTGCTTTGCTTCGCCAACCTGATTTTCACAACTCGCTCCTAGCCGAGCCGGGGTGATCGGGTAGTGATTGATGAGTAACAGTTGTCGTTTCGAAAGTATGTGAGCTGTTGAGAGTGAGAGTTATGAGGGCCTTGGACGATGATCAGTAACCACCAAGAATAACCAAATTTTTCAGCAAATTTTCTCCACCCCCAGTTGGGATACGGACGGCGGGGAGGGGGAGCGGCAGGATGGCTGTGAAAGCGGGCCCCCGATGCAAGAGATTAGCAGGTCCGCTCTTGATTCACGCACTCCTAGCTGCGAGAGAGCGCACTCGTCGCCTGAAGATTGCAGCAAGCAGCAAGCGCTATTGAATCTCGATAGGGCGCGCGTCTGTGATTCCGTGCTGCTGATGCCATCGCCGATGCACCAGCAGTTCCTGAGACCATCATCGCCCCGAAGCAATCATGGCTCAAATGTCAAACCTTAAGCAAAATGAGGGGTGTGGTGCGGGTAAGAAACGGTGGCGCACGCAATTTTGGAATCTGGGCGTTAGGGAGATATTATTTAGATGTGCAATTACTTCGTGACTGGACTGTGAAGAAAAAGGTGGAAGTGAAATGGTTGACAATTGAGAACCGAACTAGCTACTGCACATGCTCTATTTCAAAGAAATCCGTGATAAGACACAAAAATGACAAAAAGAGAAAAAACTGTGATATCGAGAGCTTACCTTGGTATTGCATGGAACGCTGTTGCAGAGATCAAGGTCGAAGTCCATCCGAAGCGTGAGGTAAGCCCTCCGAGAGGTGGCATTCGGATCCTTTGTAGGAAAGACAACCGTAGGCAGCCACCTCGAGGTGACATTCTCGCAGCTGTACTCCAACGCATACAACGGGTTCTGGCCGCTCAGGTTGGCCTTCAGGGGGATCTTCAGGTCAAACGACGAGTTCTCCAAGAAACTGGCGTCAAAATCACCCGGGTGTTCGGCGAAAAAGCGCGCCAACGGGATCAGGCGCGGAAAGCGCGCGTTGATCGCCGTCGACAGTAGCCGACCGGCGGAGATGGCACGACCGCACTGGTGCGAATCGTCCAGCCGGGACAACAACTGGGACAGGGAATCCTCGGCTGCGATCAGTTGCACGGTGAGCAGGAGCAGGTCGAGCAGGAGCAGGAGCAGCCGGCCGCCACGCCAACCGCCACGCATCGATCCCGGCCAGCCGTCTCCCCGTGGTCGTCGCAGCGGTGCCCTGCATGTCTGCCGCGTAGTCGCGCCCCGGAGGCACGGCCCTCTCGCCTCTCCGCGCTCTCGCGCCCCGCTGCACCTCGCTCCGTCACGGATAATAACACAAGTCAATTACTAGCACTCGCTCGGCCACTACTTCTGACCCCCCGCCCGCTCTGTCAACCCTAAGTGCATCGCCGAGCCTGCCAAGCGCCCCCGGTTGCAACTTGAGCAGCAACCTTCACGGCTCGTCCGCTTCGAACTACACGCTCTCCTTGTTTGGTGTAACAGATTGCCCTACTGTACCACCACATCTGCCCCCCCCCCCTCCCCCCGCCAGCCGAATCCTCAAGCAATCCCCGAGAAATATGATGCTCATGCATTCTGGATTAATGCGCGTCTGTGCCCATTCAGAGGGAAACTATCACGATGAGAATAGCACCGCTTTTTCAATGTGCCATGAGAACACGCGTTCCATTTAGTACGTCACGTTCACGTCCTTCTATGTGTCGAAAAACTTTCCAATGCTTTCAAACACGCATTCACCATCGCTGTTGGAGGCTTAAATTCATATTTTTTTACAAACAAGTTGCTGTTTTTCTTTTTCGAATGGCGGTGTGTGCTTTGCTCCTTCGTGTGGGTTTGAGTGAGTGGGTGAATATCGAATTACTCTTCTAAACGAATATCATTAAAACCTTGCATTTTGCAGAAATTACGAGCGATGGAATGTATAGAAAATTTGAAATGTTTGGAAGTGTGATCGCTCCTATCGCAGTGGAGCAATCACAATGATGATTTCGAAGTAGTTGAAACCCTTGAAGCCGCTGAAGGATTATGGTGAACAGTCACTACCGACCCTGCTAGGTACAAAAAGTAGCTTTAGATGACCTGTCTAAAATCACTGAAAAGACAACCCGGAAGTGCCGCAGCTGGATCGAAAAACGTTTCAGTTTTAGGTACCACTTGATACAATTGTCAACCGTTTGCCGCCGGTAAATCTTGAAATATGCCCTTCCATCAAAAATGCAGATAAACCGTATGTGCGTCTGCCAAGTGCCCTTGGTGAATTGCCTTTTGTATGGCGAATCGTGAATGCACAGAAATGAATAGGCGATAGAGACAGCAGATCAAACATTGGAGAGTAATTCAAATACCCAATTTTCCTATCACACGGAAATCCTCACAAAATATCACAAAGCTATCACTTAGATCATCGTAGCTTGAGTCGGGGTGGCGCGCAAAATTCTTTTTTTGAAAATAGACCCGTTTGATGGTGTAAATCATCGGGCTAAATATGTGCGCTGCTACCAATACTGCACTATTTCATAGAGTAAGGGTAACATAAGAGTTTAGTGCTCAGATTTGCCACCATATGGAAATTTCCTTGTTGAGATAAATGTGGCTTCAAAAAAACCCCGCATTCAGGGATCAGGGATATAAGAAGAATTCTGCACGATTGCAAAGAGTAAGGGGTTTTTTGAGTCGAGGAGTGCGGGATTGTTTTAAGGAGAATTGTCACTTTAACTTCATAGTCCTGTGATTCGGCGTGATACGCAATATGTCAACTAAGAAAACCATAGGGGTAAATCACTGCTGTTCGGATGAGCAAAGGGATCGAAAAAATTTTCCAAAAGCCCGAAATTTAGACAAAGCGTTGACAGAGGGAGTTCCCAACTATCAAATTTATGAAGAAATAAACGACATGATTGAACATAGAAATGTAAGCTGGTAACTGAAAAAATTGTCGGGTGGCACTGCGTTAGTGAAACTTGGTGCCAGAGTCATGCAATAGCAGTAGTACCTAGTTAGGTCCGTTGGAAAACGCAGGAAAAAGGGCTGGAAGTTGAGAGCATAAGTGAGTCTGTAGTAAGTGGAACATATATTCAATATCTCGAAATTCTTGTTTCATGTATAGGGCATTTGAAAAATCATGACGATGGCACAACCGCTCGCGATACGCACGCCACTTCAGAATATCGCGTTTTCCTGGCTTTTTTAATCTCTGGTCGAATGGTTTTTTTTGCTTACATATGATATTATTTAGACCTTGGAAGTGACTGGCTGAACATTGAAGTGCTGCCTTCTTGTATAAGCGTTTTATGCTTCTGTGGGCGCAAAGTCAGCAGTAAAATCCGTCGTCACGATTTTATAAATGAACTATATTTCGTCTGCGACGAAAATCTTCGAAGTGTCTGGCGACACCTATGACGCACAGCTTTGTTACGCAGAGTCTCTGCCAGCGAACTCTTTTTAGAATTCCGAGAAGGACTAATTTGCAAACAAAGGGCCTTGCAGGCTGAAGGTCCCACGGCGATAAAAGTTTGCAGGCACTCTCAAGCTTTTACAAATTATACTTCTGCAAATAAAGGACCAGCGAAAGTATCAAGGTAGATCTGCAAAGGAATGCCTCATCAGACAAGTTTTTTTAGGACTTCGTGATGGGACTCTAGACAAATTTTTGGCCATAGAATGTCTGCTAGAAAGATTTAACTCTTCAGGGAAAGCCCCACAGCTCTTTCCAGAAAGATGTTAGTAACTAACTTGTAACCCAACCTACTTTTTATGCGTTAACTATTTCGCGGTCATATAAGCTAGTCGAGCTGAAGAAGCACAGTCACAAAGAGTTTGAAAATCAACCTCGAAGCATAGGCAGTCGCGTATTGCTTCAGATTTTTTTTTATATTCTCAAGTTACCGATAATACATTGGCGCTTTGGTACAGAAGACTTACGATAATGTATTGAGTAGCGTATACCTTGGTTCACCATTTTAACGAGCAAAAAGGGTTTGTGTAGTTTTAATGCTAACATGCGATTTCCTAGTTGCGATAACTTTTAGTTTTTTGTTTCATTTGCAAAATTCTGCAAGATTCTATATAAGCGTTGATGTCACTCACATATAAAGCTTTTGCAATTTTGAAGCGCTGCAGAAACGCCACTACCTGCAAACTGCATCCATGACAGCTGACATTTCAAAAAGAGTAGCGACTGCAAAACTTTGCCGTTAAGACGACATTTATAGCAGAATCATTGGTTCACTCTTGCTCAGATCATTTTTTGCGATCTCAGATCAACCGAGTTCAGCCTGCCCTGGACTAACTATTATGTTTCCACTTTCATGCATTAGCATTAAGAGATGGACCAAATAGCTCTTGAAATGCACAAAAAGCACATTAGTGCCCTTTGAGGCATTATAATGGGCAGTTGACTTTGGCGGACAAGGATCCATTAGTGGAGTCGAGGACGGGATGGGGGAGAAAGTCTGTTTTTGAGGTCTACGGCTTTTCAGCTCACATCTTGCAGGCTTTACCGGAAAAAGGCTACAGGCGGAGTATTGCAGATCCTTACATGTGCCCATTGATTGGGTTAGTTCATAAGTCTTGTAGCAAAAAACATTAGAAATTCACTCAAAAATTTTCCAATATACACTAGGTTGGTGCAAAAGTTCTGTCGTTTCATTTTCAAAAATTTGTAACTTTGCGCTGTTTCAACGGATTTGCTTGCCTCTAATTTTATTTGAAAGTGTAAATCTTTCGCTTTCAAAGGCTGTTTTGTGGAGCTTCCGTTTCACACTCGGTACGGAGATAAAAATGGAAAACTAAAACCAAGATCATGTAAGCTTTGACCATTATAAGTTAGGTCCCCAAAAATCTGGAATGCTGCAGAAAAATCTGAAATCGTTAGCACATATGTTTTTTGACCAACCCTTTGCAACTGTGAAAAGTTTGTGCGGTTTCGACGTCTCTGTGAGAAGTTATGAATATCGAATTTACTACGGAAAACGCCAAAATTAATTAATTTGTCAATTTTGGCGAAAATCACAACTTCTCACAGAGACGTCCAAACCGCACAAACTTTTCACAGTTGCAAAGGGTTGGTCAAAAAACATAAGTGCTGACGATTTCAGATTTTTCTGCAGCATTCCAGATTTTTGGTGATCTAACTTAAAATGGTCAAAGCTTACATGATCTTAGTTTTCCATTTTTATCCCTGCACTCAGTGTGAAACAGAAGCTCCACAAAACAGCTTTTGAAGGCGAAAGATTTACACTTTCTAATAAAATTAGAGGCAAGAAATCCGTTGAAACGGCGCTAAGTTACAAATTTTTAAAAATGAAACGACAGAACTTTTGCACCAATAATACTTTATTTTTTACACCCTATAGTGTTCCGTTCTACTACGCATACTAGAGATTATATTCGAAGCAAAATTGAAATGACCAAATAAAAAGTCGAAAATCGTAACTACTAGATGTCTCATAATTTTTTGCCGTTTCTCCCTAAACATCAGCATTTCTCAAGAAGTGTGGAACCTAGAAAGGGCACAAACAGATGATCGTTCCTTATGTGCAAGAAATGATCATATTTGTGGCAGGAACTCAGGACATCTGGGGGCGGAGTTTGCCGTACTCCAGTCATTTTTTGCTTTATTTTTAGCCATGAAAAAAATTTGGAAAGTGTACAATTGAATGAACAATGTCTTAGGCATATGCTAGAATAAGTGCGGAAATTTTTTTAGCTTTTCTGAGGCCGAGATACCATTTTTGACGTTGAAGTTCGTTTTTAACTACTATCAGATTTCAACTTCAAACTTCACCTGGAATACGAGTTAGGCAGACTCCTGATACCCATCTTGTAGAGCTTGCTTTGCTTTGTCAAATGATCATCTCAAGCCTCTCCAATTGAAGGAGAGTTACAAAAAGACGATGGTTATAGTAAAAACGGTAAAAAAAAATTATGAGGCGACCCAATATTAGCAGAGACATCCAAATTTTCAAAATGTTCTCTCAGTTAGAAAAAGCAGGCCGTATATGTACCGTAACGACATTTATAAAGTTGGTTGGTGAGCAGTTGTGCTATGTACATGTCCGGCATCTCGTGTTTAGCATGCAATCCCACCGTATAGGTACCGTACCCGCCCCACCGTACAAGCACCGTATCCGCAGTCAAGCGGAAAATCGAAAGTCTATTAGTTGTGGCCATCACTTCTTAGGAACTTTGTTCGCTTTTTTTACAAAAAGTGGTGAGC